GGGGGGGGGGGTCTCCATCATACACCGAACCCCCCCCCATCGCCGAATGTGAAAACGTGTGGTTAGCCGGGATGCCCAATCTTCCAATGGGACAATCTTGTTTGGCACAGCAGACGCAAGCATGACGACGACCCGATATCAGGTCTTTCATCCTTGTGGAACGTAGCATGGGCCGGCGGTATCGCTCCGCCCCGGCAACACGCGAGGTCTATGGTCTAACGAATACATGAGACATGCGGTGACATGAGCACAAGCCCCCCCCCCCCAAACCCCTTGGCAAGCGCAACTCACCATGAGCTTGTTCCCCTGCTTCTTGTGCCTGGCACAGTATCGTGGACGGAACCGCGGGTCGCCCCAGCAAGCCTCCAGGGTGCAGCCATCACCCTCGCACGCTTTGACTGAGCCCGCAATCTTCTCTCCGGCACCACAACAAAGGTTGAAACAAAAGAGATGAACAATCGGACCCATTCGTTGAACCAGGTCGAAAAAAAAGGGCAGTGCAACATGGTTGACATGTACAAGGAGACAAAAGAGAGGTCGCCCGCTGCTTCGTTCGAAAACAGCATGTCACACTAAAAAAAGAACAAGGTCAAGCCAGCCAGCCCCCCACACGGATGGAGAAAGAAGGTGACAGGGAGCACAGAGGGGGCGAGGGCTTCGCCCAACAATGACCACGCTCCCGAGCCTCTCAAGAGCTACAGGGGGCAGGCAGACGTTCTGACAACGGCCGTCACCACCGTCTGCCAACGTGGAGTGAGGGGTAGGGAACAGCCGCATAGAACTGATTTACACAGGCTGCGACCCCTGATGTCGTCCAAGGTTGAACGTGTGTGGTCTAGCCTTCGTGATGGGGGATATCACGTGTAGCCAATCGAAGAAGAGTGTCAGCGATGAACTCATCTGCGAACACTTCAAAAAGCTCTCTTTAACTCCATACACCCACCATCCGTGGTTGGAGCGCACACAGGCACGGCGATAGCTGTAACAGAACCCCAGCCTGGTGTCTTTCCCCACACAAACACCCCCCCCTCACGGACATTAGCCCCTTACCCTTGGCGCCGAATCAGAATCAGACTCCTCCTCCAACGCCGATTCGTAATTGTCGAGCTTCTCTTCCGCCGCGATCCCCATTCGCCCCACGCCCGCCCTGCCACCGGTAACGCTGTCGCCGTTGCTCACAGGACCACTCCCCGCGAGACCAGAAACCGAGGGGGACACCAGCGTGCGAGACACAGCAGAGCCAGAGCCGGGCTGCTCCAGCTGCTGCCGTTGGGACGCGGTCGTCGTCCCTTGCAAGTGAGGGGGCTTGTAGGACTCCACAAGGGATTTGACGGTGTTCTGGGTTATGCTGCCCGAGGTTTGAGAGGGCGGGGCGGCCGTGGTGGAGGGGGGTGTGGGACTCGGCGCCGGCGCGGGAGTAATGTGGTTCTGCGCAGGAGAGAGGGAAGGAGGGAGGGAGGGAGGGAGATAACGGCAGGTACAACGACAGCGACAAGGACACAGAAAGAGAAACACAGAAAATGAGATAGGGAAACCACGTATGCAACGGACGGTGACTGACTTGTGGGGTGAGACGGAACTAACGACGGGGGCAACAAACACCAACTTCTACCACCTGTTAACCCACCTCTGTCCGCTTCTGCCACAACCGCGTGGAAGAAGGCACCGGAGACGGCGGTGGCCACGTACCAACCCTAGCGGCCACGCTGGTGCCGCCGCCTCCGCTCGTGCCCTCCTCCTCCGCGCTACCGTCGCAACCGTCGCCGCAGCCGTCGCCGCCGCCCCCACCCCCCGCGGTCGCGGACGAACGCCTGCTCCTCGCCGAAGGCAGGTCCGTCACCCCCGCCCCCGACTCGCCGACCGGCGTCACCGCCTCCTCACTGAACAATTCCCCGGCCTCCGCCCCCAGACCCTGCACCTGCAGCCCCCTGGTAGACCTTAGCGGCGACGGCGCACGCACCGCGGTAGAGCGGCCCGCGCCGGTGGGGGTGACCCTTCTCCGCGCTCCTCCCCCGGTGCCTACGGGCGTCGTCGCCGCCGCCGTGTCGCCGGGGGTGACCGGGTGACCCCGCGGCGACGATTCTAACCCAGCCACCGACGACATGACGGACCCGCTACCGCTGCCACCGGCGCCGGTGCCGCCGCCGACGCCAGCGCGTTCCAAGGCCGCACCGACCCGCCCTCCGCCCGCCCACGCCTCCTCGCCTGCAGCCGCCGCAGCCACCGCCGCAGCCCCCCCTGCATACGCCGCTCCTTGCCCGTTCTGCCACAGAATAGGGGACTGTTTGCCCGGCGGCGATATGGTATTTTGGTTATCCCGTACTGCCGAGGCGCCGGAATCAACCCGGCTGCCCCGACGGAGCCCCCCCACCCCCCCCGTCGCCGACCCTTCCCTGTTGCGTAGCCTCCCGCCTGCCCTGCTGCACTCGAATGTCCCTTCGAGTTCCCCACCATCCTCCAACGTCTGGTGATATCATCGTGTTCGTTATCGGCATTTGCCAAATCGTGTGCCGCGGTAACGTGTACGCGAAAGAAACGTGGTACGAGGGAAGGCCTGTGGGTGAGAGGACGCGCTGGAAAATGATTCGCTCATCAGCGGGACTGGCACCTTCCACACACTTCTCCCACCAGAGCCTTTCCATGTGCTTCTTCCTTTCTTCCTTGACCCACAGGCAAGGGTGGTATGGAAGGGGGGCAGAGTGTCGCTTGTATCTCGCGGCTTTGTGCCCTGAAGGATGCTACAACAACGGTAACAAACAAGAACAAGAACCATGCCCACCGACGCTACCTTCAAGTCCAGTCCGTTCCCATCACCGCCACCCGCGACGAAACAGCCAGCCACCAAAAGCGCATCAGGCAAGACTTTCGCCCGTCGCCTTGTCGACCACCCAAAACACTTACAATTAATATACTCCGTACTTTCGTCTTGACAACATGGTACTTCTATTCTCATCACAACCGAGCAAAGCATCTAGACGAAGAGAAAACGCACCATCTTCTTGTAGATCACGTTGCCAGAGACTGATCCCGTGGAACGGATGGAAACCTTCGCGGTAGACTCCAGCGACCCATCTAACGACCCGTACACGTCCGCCTCCTCTACCTGAACCGGGAGAGGATGGGTGGGGGTTAAGTCAATGATGCGTCTGCCCCTGTTTCTGCTTCCCGAAGGTGCCGTTACGTAGGCCCCCGATATTTAGTCGTTGCTTGCGGGGGGTCAACCATCTTTGCATCGGGCTAGCTAGCTCTTGTACACAGCCTCGTCAAGCGGGGCGGAGGAACAGTGGGGCAACAAACGACAAGCGCCGCATGCATCACCAACTGGAGGGTGGCGCCTAGACAACGATGCGCCGGACGTTACAAAGAGGCACGCTCCGCCTGAACCGCAAAATGCGGGGGGGGGGGGGGG